TTTCTAAAGCCTGTAGTACCACCGGGAAAAGCAAGAGGACTCTTTTTTCCTCCATAGCTTACCTGTCTAATATCAATCTGTCAGGAGATAGTGACAGAATGAAAAAATATGTAAAAAATACATTTTTAGAAAAGTTACATACTGCACCTTTAAGGCCAAATGTTTACACCGACTGACTGGTGGGAGCAGTTTTTTCTCTCTCTCTCTCTCTCTTCCTGTTTCCAAATTCCTTTCTTCTGCCAGCAGACACAAATTTTCAGACAAGGTGTAAAGATGCTGCAAGAGCCAAAATTTACAGCAAACTTTCCACGCAAATGGAAAACTAATATTCCTCTTAGCTCTGGGAATTTTCACTTAAAATCTCAGGCCTTCAGTGGATCAAACAGTATCAGTGCTGCCGTTCTAAAACAACTAGTGATAACATATAACCATGTTTCTGTTAGTGCTCAATCACTGCTTTTCTCAACAAAACACTTCATTCATTTTTCAGTGTCTTTTGGCCCTGTAAAAGTTTGTTTTGGAACAAAAATTGTTGTACATGTAAAGACATTTTGGAGACATCCTGCTTTATGAGTTACTGTCTTTAAAAACACTGAAATGGTCTTTTTCAGGCCCTTTCTTGATAGAACAACTAAAAAGGAAGAAAAATAAAGAATAAAAAGGACGAGAGCCCCTGCATGGTTCATAGAGAAGATCTGGAGTCTCATTTATAAAGGATTGCGTAGAAACCATACTAAAAGTGAACGTACGGCCAAAAGGCGGAAATGGCGTACGCCAAAAAAATTCAGATTTATAAAACGGTGAGTACGCACGTTTCTGCTCATCTTTCCTTTATAAATCACAGCCACACGTCAGAGTTTGCGCACGAGGTCCCGCCTCAGGTTCTACCCTCTACACGCCCACACTCAACCATAAACAGTCAATGCAAAGTACCTCATGAATGTTAAGATGTATTTAAATCAGTCAGCTGATCAATGCCAACAAAAGTGATTGGTTCAGACACGCTCCGTCGTGAGTCTGGAGGTTGACAGGTGCTGACTGACAGCTGCTCACGTGAACAGAATGTCTGTAATTGACACAGATTTTCCCTCATTTTGCTTTAGAGTAAATCTAATGATTTTTATTTAAAAAACTCAGCTTCAAATTAATTTTCCCTCAGAGCCTGCAGGACGATAAAAACAATAAAAATTACATTATATGTCAGATAAAATTAGAACTGGCGAGGTGGATGCGCCCTGTGTCCAAAGCGTGACTTTTACTGTCCTGCTGTGCTTGTCGGGGAGGGGTCTGTGGGTCAGGGAGGGGTCTGTGGATCAGGGTTGTCTAAGGAGGAAGCAGATTAATGGAGTTGCTCATGGGAACTTTTATTTAAGATTTAAGGGTTTTTTATTTCAAAGGTCCTCATGGCTCAGCAGCAGAAGCATAAATATTACTGTTAAAGCTGATGATAAAGTTGAATAAAAATCTAAGTCTGATGAAGGTAAATTAAATATCTGACAGTGATCATTACAGTGTGGCTATAATTCTTCACTTCACCATCTGTTTCACGTCTCCAAAATGAGCATACATATGGGTCAGAGCTGGCGTGAGGCACCGCACATTTTCACGTCAAGTTTGGATTTTATAAATCACAAACTTGGTGTAAAAAGTGGCGTACGCAAGTTTCTGGGCTCATATTGTGCGTACGCAAGTTTTATAAATCCGACCCCTGGTACCCAAAGAGTAGGGGTGAAGGAAAATATTGATACACTGAAATACGGCACTATTTAATTTTCTAAAATTATATTGATTTTTTATTAAGACTTAATAGATGGATTTTGAAAGAAGAAATGTGAAATACAAATGCAGTTCTCACTGCTGTTCCGTGTTCTTCTGATTGCACAAAAATAACCTGAATTTAATCCGATTGTATGCATGTAATGCATGATGTACTTAATGAGTTGTTGTTTTTTTTAGAAACTATTGAAGAAAAGTTTTGAACTGTGAGATTAAGCCAAACCCCTTCTCCGCCATTTTTGGAGTTGCCCCAGAACTGGACTTAACACATTTCATACAAAGAATGCTCTCATTCTCAACATCAATTGCCAGAACAACTATCCAATTAAGGTGGAAAGACCCAGCTCCCCCTTTACATTCACACTGGATAAGAGATATTATGCTTTGTATGGGCTTAGACAAGATAACATTTATTGCCCGAGGCTCTGAAAACAAATTCTAAAGTTTGGCATCCCTTTCTAACTTTTTATGAAAAATCTTCCGACTACTTTCTCTGAGTAGTTCCTGTTATTTTCCTACCCCCTTTATTATCATTATTAATAATAACAATAATAATAATAATTATTATTATTATTACTATTTTATTTATTTATATAACATACATTTCGATTTATTTTTTTTTCTTCCTCCATATATCCATCTTAATTTCATTATTTTCTTTTCATATTTGGAGATAATGTATTTTTCAGGGTTACCTCCAATGGTAATATTTATACATAGTATCTTTTTACTAATATCTTGTATAAATGTTATTTTACCTTTGTTCAGTTTTGTGTGAGTGTGTCTGCTGTATAGGGATTTGTTTGTGGGTTAAAATCTGTTAAAATCTTATTGCTATACTTTGTAGATTTTTTCAGTATATTAATAATTAATAAAAAGACATTTGAAAAAGAAAGAGAAACTATTGAAGAAAAGTGGCATATATGCCTTGCTTATAGTATAGCAATATATTGCAATACATCATATTGTGACCCTCTGTATGATATCAGCCCTACTAAAGAGTTGTTACAGCAGCACCTGAAAACCATTTCTGTTTTTCCCATCAACTGTGGCAGTCAAATGATACAATCCATGAACAGTTCAACCATTCTCAAGTGGATTTCTTTATAAAACTTATAAATCAATAATATCTGGAGATGAGACACTGGACATCAACAGTTTGGACAAACAGATTTAGAGAAACTTTACATCCAACAGGACTGATGAGATAAGTCTGGTCTTTCTGTAGCTAAAGAACTCTATGGTTATTTGCAGGCACAAACAGGAGGATTTGGCAGGATTATGTAGCTGTGTAATGTGAAATCCAAGAGTCAGAAAGTCGTAATTCTCAGAACGTTCTCTTCAAATAGCCCAATCCTCTACAGGATTTGTAGCTCCAAGTCTTGAACAACAACTATACATCAAATGGAAAAAACAAAGATCCGATCAGAAGGATGGATGTAACAGTCTTAAGTCTCCTTCTTAACACTGACAGCCCTCTCTGCAGTTACACTCCGACACCTGCTGCTTCTTAAATGTCTGTAGAAAACCAACGTGAAACGCTGTCGGAGACGAGGAATCCCCCCGTGTGGATCAAAGGAGCCCAACTAAAGGTGTGAAATCCACCTTCAAAGCTAATACTCACGTGGATGTTGAGTTCCACGTTCTTCCACTGGCAAAAACGGGTAAATTTGTCGCTGTGGGGGAAGAAAAAAAAAAAGGTAAACCTTGGCTGTACGAGCAGTGAAAACTAAAAATGTACATTTCACTTTCTGTATTTCATCGCACCTCTCGATGAACTTCTGGAAGATGTTGCCTCTCAAGCTGTCGCAGATCTCCACAATGTATGGCTACACACACACACACACACACACACACACACACACACACACACACACACACACACAC